ATCATCACCATTTATACCCTTTCTAAAATATGTAAGCGCCAAGTGCTACACACCTGTCTTACCAATCACGTTCTAGAATACAAGCATTGGGAACTGCGGACTCTACAAGAGTTGAAGCAGCTGCCCACTTCCTGACTCCAGTTTTCAGATACCTCATTACTGTCATAGGATCTTGGGGAGCTCATGAACAAATGGGGACCCAGTATGTAAACCTGGATGACCCTCCTGTCCTTCCATGGATGTGTTCAGTCACCGAGGCCTAATGACTGGGCTTTCCTGCAAAACCCTGTGTGTGAACAAGTAGAATGAGGGCGGTGATCAAGCCCCAGGACCCACACAGAATGCCAGTAAGTGAGGCTCCGCCTCCAGGGAATGTCTGGAAGCAGCAGGGCTATTTCTTCTCCTTCTTGCAGGCATTTGTTGTTACCCTATAGCAGCCCATTGATCCCCTGTGGATTAAAGGACAAAACCAGGAGGGATGCTGGCTTCCATCACCCCTTTGCCTCTTGTCCTCTCTATAAATCACTCTGGCAGGTAGCTGGGACACAGCTGCTAATGACAGTTTGCTCTGGAGCACAGGAAGCCACCTTTTAACCTGCCTGCTGTTGTTTGTCTCTCAAAACGTGACAAAGGACAGACGTAAGCAACATGCCAACTGTTGAGAGGATCTGCTCGAGCACTATAGGAAGCCTGCTGCTCAGAGCCACATCACACCAGCCGCTCCATGGAAGGACAACTGAGTTCATTTCCTGAAACCCCTACACAAATTCTGTTCACATCAGATTGGGGTAGGTAATGCGGGGCAACTCACCACGCACAGCCCTGCTTCTGTGCTGGCCCCTGGGGTTCCCCAGCCTCACAGTTCCTTCCTGAAGCCTGTTCAAATGCCCCAAAGGTGCCACCCAGCAGCCTCATCTCCCAAGTGCTCGTCTCTCCCCCCACGCTCATTTCTGGGTCTCACCATCTGAACCAGACTCTAAACCTTGCAAGGGCCAATCTCATTGCTGTACACAACATCCTGTTATCTGCATGAGGACTGGAGTGTGGCTAATTCACCTCCAGTCCCAAAGTGGTGTTTCTCTAATTACTAGTTGCATGAAGTGTACACTGGATAGCAAATTTGCAACGTGTATTTAAAACATGAACTGAGAACTAGTTTATAAAAGACATCCTTGGGGCACCCGAGGAACTACTGGGGAACTCTTACATGATATGAAATTGCTAGTCAAATCTTAGAAATAGTCGTGGTATTGTAGAACGTCTTGTGTGTAGGAGATGCATGCCTAAGTATTTAGAAGGGAGCGCGCTTTCAACTCTATCAGCAATAAAATGTGTGTATGTGCATTTAAGGAACACACACATGCACAGATAACGCAAATGGGACATGTTACACCCGCTGAATCTAAGCATAGCTTATGTAGGTGTTCCCTGTGCTATTCTTCGAATGAGCCTATGTGCTCGAAAATTTTCATATTAAAAAGTAGAAAATGAAAAAGAGGAAACAAAAGATCAGGATGCAGACATGAAGTATGATATGGTTGTCAGGCATGTAGGGATGTGTGCATGCCCTAGATTATAAGGTGAATGCATTTCTTACTGTGAGCCAGGCAAGTCTGCTGGTACTAACTACTCGGTAGCTCCTTGCTGCACCACGCACAAATGCAGCAAGCTGGAAATAAACCCTATGTTAATTACCTTCCAGAAGCACAGGATTTAGAAGAAGAAGCAAGCTGAGAAATTATTTTGTCTCCAGTTACATCCTATTAACTCGAACTGTGTCACAACAGCCAAGCCCTTTCCTGCCCGAATGCACTGGAGCTTAACCTCAACTGGCACTCCAGGCCTTTCTTATCAGATGTCCAATTACTCATGGGGAAGGCTCTCCCAGGCTACTCCCCACCAAGCCAAGAAGGGGATTGTGTTGCAAGAAGACTCCCAGGAGGGTGACCAAATGCCCTAGTTTGCTTGTGACTGAAGTGTCTCCCAAGACGAGGGCTTTTTGGCCTTAAACCTAGGATGGTCCCAGGCAAACTGACAGCTGGTCATCCTAACTAGGGAGATGCAAGGGAACCACAGACAGGTCTTAGAGAACTTCCCCTGCACTGCCCTGCGGTGGATGGTGCTGCAGCCACAGGTGCGCAGAGGAAACCCAGCACAGCAAAAATTGGGGCAAGCTAGCAACCCCAGAGCAAATTCAGACGGCAAGTTACAGTGTCTCTCCTACCCTTCAACAGACCCTCTGTCTGATTATTCATCCATGTATCTGGAAAGCAAAAGGGAACTTACCGTAAAAACGTCATCGTCACCAAGCTCAGCTTCATTATGGATGGTGGAAGATGATGTTGTAGAGCCTTAAAAAAAGACCAAAAATTGCAATAAAAGGTGTTTCCAAAAAAGTTAAGCAAATGTCATCATTTAAAAGTGTATTTTAAGGAACTCATATTCCATTCCTTAAATTCCATATTCAATTCCACTCTGCTACCAGCAGACATGTTACCTTGGAATGAAATGCTTCTCATTTACTCTCTAACTGATTCCTGCCTGAATATCCCCTTTGTTCCCTACCCATTCCTCAAACGTATGCACTGGCTACTGGGCCATAAGCAGAGTCACCACGGAGGGGAGGCAGGCAGGCATCAGATGCCTCCTGCAGTAAACCTCCAGGCCCCCTATGGAGGGGGAGAGCATTGGAATGACCCCCCACCACCCATTAGCGCTGCCATAGCTGCACTGTGTAAAATGGACTTAGTTCTGGGGTGTCTTCATCTACCAGCAAGAGAGGGGGCTTGACTGACTACCTAGTATACCTGCTGCCAATATTAATTCAGCCACCCTACATTAAAATCCACACTATCTGGGCCACTCTCTGGCTGACATCTGGGTAAAGTGGTTTTCTCTGACAACAGCAGGGCGTCAGTACGTTTTCTCAGCGTTGCAGGTCAGATGTAGGCTTATGCCAGACAACCCAGTTAATTCTATCACGGAATGAACTAGTTATTTAGGGATCAATTTATTAGTTCATTGTTCATATTTTTCTTCATTCTGGTCTGTAAATTAGTATAACTGCTTCCCTTCTATAGTAGCCAATAATGAATGGATCAACTTAAGTGACACTGTAAATAGTGAAAAGGAAAAACATGCTTCAGAGCTTGAAGATACCAAAAAGGAAATTGATTATCTTCTCCTTTTCTTGATTAGGTCTTTAAAAAGGTCCATTTAGAAAATGCTATTACATAAAATCAAAATTCAAAGAATGGCTCAGAAAATGATGACAAATGCTGAGATTTCCACTGAGGATCACAGGAGGAAAAATTGCTCTCTGTGCAATTCTTATTGATCTTTTAGGATCTTTTCTCTATGGTTTCAATTAGTCCAGTCAGTCAATGCTTAATGGAGTAGACATAAAAAATAGTTACAAGTAGCAGAATCAAATTTTGTGTGTAGCTTTAGTGATAGAATATACATATTACAGACTTCTATCAAAAATATAGAAACAGTTTTCTCTCTATAGATATTTAAAACCATGTTTAATAACATTTTAAATATATGCCACTTAGGATGTAAACACTAGTTTTTATTGTCCCTTTGGATACTGTGACTGTAATTAACATTCACATTCTCACTACACTTATCTTGCTACTGAAGTTAAATGACTTTTAAGATTTGCTTATCTCTCTTTCACCAAATCTATAATGAAGACTGTGACTTTAAAACACAATGATTTCTTAAATGAAACACACATTCTCTTGTTATTCATTCCCCCAATTGCTGAATTTGGCTGTAATTATGTCATGTTTTATCATTTTTATTTTTGTGTGACCCTGGCAATGGCACCTTCCACCCTCGAATCTGATAAATGGTGAAGTAGAGATATTTGTGTGTTTCCATTTGTGGACTCTAGGAAGGTCCACTGTGAGAAAGGACTCTAGGGCCTTCCAGGCAACCATCATACACACTACCATGTCCACTCCTCCTCACCACAGACAAAAACCAGACTCTGGGAGTCGCAGATCCTTTTGCTATTCAGTGGCAACAGTACCTCCTGGGATCTGGTTATAGGGAAGTCAGTAAGGTAGCTTTGGAGTCTTCTTGGCTTGTTAAGAGTCCATTCTCTACTTCGGACCAAAGTTGTTCCAATAGTCACTCATTAAGTCCAGACCTTATCTTTTCAGAGCAGTCCAAAAATCAACTAATATCACTCCTTACTCTGAAACCCATGTTCACTCCTTTCCTCCTAAACTGTCAATTTAATTGTTCTCCTTGCATATTCCCAAAGTTCTGGCATGTAATGGGCCTCGCCCTCTGGTGCCCAGCAGATAAACCGCCAGAACAGGATAGCACATGCTACTGGAATTAGAAATACGTCCACGATCCAACTGAGAGTGCAGTAACAAATTCAATACCTTCTATAAGGTCTTCGATTGCTTTCCTCACTCCCCTGTCAAAGGCTCGAGCATCAGCAGGACTTTGGAAAGTAAGTCCAAACTTTCTGTTGTCGACTTTCCAATGATGAAATGTTGGGTTGGCTTTGGTGTAGACCAAGTCTTTTCTTACATAGCATTCTAATACCACCTGAAGGATTGAAACACAAAGGCTGGTTACTGGTGGAATGTCATGATGATGTCTGGTCACAAAACATCTACCTAGAAACCATTCATCACTGGTGGCAGCTAAGGAAAACCCTCCACACCTGCCTTCACTTAGCTGGTCTCTCCATCTCAAAAGAAACCTTTGTGAGTTTTTACTACCATCCAATCTCTGTTGACATCACTTTGGCTCTGCTGACCTCCCACTGTACTCCTTGAGTAGGCTTCTCATCTAATTCACTCCTCTTTCTCCTGCCTTGGCTTGGGGTCACTAGCTGAGCCCCAGGCCATGGGACTCTGCTCTGCTTCCCACTCACTGTGTCTGTGTCAGTGATCTTTTACCAATAGCTCCCACTCTCCCCTCCTTGGCCTAATGGGCTTTTCCCAGCTGACCTCAAATTCAACAAGCAGAAAAATTAACTAATCTGCTCTGAAATTTCTGAGACCAGTTTCCTCTCCCAACTTCCCCAGATCTAGCAATGCCAACCACTCTTTATTCATTCTCTGTGGCTCATAATCTCTGTCTCCTCTGTTTTCTCTACTCCCATGCTATTAATCACCTACTTATTGTATTTTTCCTTCAACATCTTTTATATTAACCCCATTTCAGTTGCTGCTCCCCTGATCTAGCTAGATTTTTGTTAACCTTTTACCTGATTATTGTAAGTTCCTAGTAATCTAGATTCAGAACTGCCCTTTACTGAGTAGAAGATCTTCAAACCTGAATCATTGTATCTCTAAAAGGGGATTACATCGATACCAGTGAGAATACACAAACATGGCTCTGAAAACATTAAATAATGACAGATTTAGGTGTCATAAAGTTAACACTTGTTTCCTGCTGTATTTCCACCATCAAGTTTTACTCTTATTTTTCCATTTCTTATCACCTTCAGAATTTATTATTATTTACTGGATTTCTTATTATTCTCTAACAGTTTCATGTACATTAGTTTTGTTTCCCCTAGTAAGACTGTAAAAGACCAACAGGTGCTATAAAGTATTTCCCTATGTCTAGCACCAAGCTACTACTGAGGAAGATGACAGAATTTAACATTATAGGATAAAAGTACTACAATCATTTGTAAGTTTCATTTGCATAAAATCTCTCAAATTGGGCAGTGTTTACTCCTATGGTTCTACTATCTATACTAATATGATTCAAAGTTTAAAAACTTTAGTTTTGTTCTGGCAAAGCAGTCATTTAACAAAATGCAGTATTAACTAATTTTAGAGTAAGTGAAGGGAAAAGTTAAAGGCTCATCTCAGTTACCACAGTGCAAATTCGTTGCTGATTACCTTTGTGTACACATTTCAAGAACACATCTAAGCAAAGAGGAATTAAATGCTGCCTAATAAATGTTCCCTAACAGATGAGAGTAATATTCAAATTGGTGTATTAAATAGCAGCTATCTTTATTACATTGTATTGAAAGAAGACAACAGTCCCCCTCACACAGTTCTATTTTGATTAAATTGCTTATTATGGCCATTTTCCCTCTAAGAATAGTGCAATGATTAAATGTCAGCCCAGCCCCATTCCAAATTGGGGAAATCCAAATAACCAAGGCTTTAACTAACAAATGTTATCTATTTTAGAATTTAACAGTCTCAATTCAAGTCTCAAAATAAACTTTTTGTAAAAAACAAAGACTTCCAGTTTCTTCATATTTTTTGGGTGCAAAGAATTAGTCTTTGACAATTTCCAAGTTTAAGATTATTCTAAAGGCACACTGTTAGAAAAGTAAAGTGAGTCCAATCACCTAAATTAAATGAAGTGTGGGGGGGAGGGGAACAGGCGGGGCAGGGAGCATCACATCACATTTCTTTATGCCCTCTTAAAACATCATTACATATCTAAGTTTAGTGATGAAAATTTCAGAGCTTTAATTTTTGTAACAAAAACCTGCAGTGAAGTTTTGGCACATGTGCAATTAGGCATTAACTTAAAACTTAAAAAAGAGGCTTCAAAAATATCTTTTTAAATGAGATGCATGGAGAGAAAAAACTGATTACATTCTTGTTGAAGGCTTAGAAAAAAAATACACATGAAAACGAACCCGTGAAGGCTCATTCTTAAGCCTGTCTTTATCCACCCCAGAGTATGGGGGTCCTAGTTTCTTTTGTGTGGCTTCTTTACATACTCAAGAAAGTTTGTGCCTACGCTTGAGTGGGCTTAAATGGAGCCACACCTATGAACTGTTCAGTAACTTGCTTTTTATTCAGGAATTGTTTCATCGGTGCACGATTCTTCAGTATAGATGTAGAAGAACCATCCAGCCACTGTCCATATGAATGGACATTTAGGTAATTTCTACCTGGTTACTTTTACAGATAATGATTCAGTGAACATTCTTACACACATTCTCAAAGTTTTTTACATTTTAGTTAAGAGCTTAAGAGCTCTTTCTCTTCAATTCCCAGGCACCTCTCATGGGGTCCAGGATAGCAAAATTATGTCCATATGAAACATTTTTGCCTTTTTCACTGCACTGCTGTTCTGCTACTGGTATGAAAAGAACATAGTAGGTGAAACTACCATATTGGCAGTTAAGGCAACACAGGAACACCAAAGTCACCCGTGGCTGTTCGGCATCAAAATGGAAAATGCCAGCTTTATTTCACTGTCCTGATGAATTAGTAAAAATTATTATTTTATTAAATCTTGACCCTTGCATATACATTTCCTATTTCGGGGAAGTTCATGTAATTGGATTTCTATATATACTTCTGCATTCAGTCTACTGTAATATGTTGCTCTGGTTGAAGAAGACAAAGAAACTCTGGCTTTGCACAAATGCATAGCTGGGAAAGGGAAGAGTGTTTCTAACAGCCTTTCACTTCTGCTGCACTGGAAGAAAGAGCATTGTCTCAAGGGAAAGTACTTGTGCAAGTGTTTCACTTGTAAGTTAAACAAACTGCTTTTTTCACGGATCACCAGTTTTACTTGAAAGAACAACTGACACACACACTATGGTGACCGAGACAGACATTTTCCTGAAAATTAATGAAGTGAGTCCATCACATCAAGGAAAACAATAATAATAAAATTTGAGCTTTCAAGTGAAAATTAGAGTTTTAGACAACTTCCTAATAATAAAGACTTTTTAAATGAGATTAGTGGTGATATTTCGGAATTGTAGAATTAGGTTTAATTTGTAAGATCCGCTTAAATCAGCAAACCATTATTTTCTAAATGACCAATGCATGATGTTACAAAATCAAGGGAAACTAAAAAGATCCCTTCAAAGTTAAAGAGAAACATGGATTTTAATGTAACAGAGCATGAAAAGTTCACTGATCTATATGGCTCCAGATCCCACATTTAAGAAACTACCACTGGCCAAGTTGTGGTACAGTATCAAAGAAGCTTAGATCTGAAAAGACAATTTAAAATAGTTCTCCCTTTTCCAACTACATGTCTCTTTGAGGCAGGCCTTTTTCTTCACATACTTCACCAAAACAACATATTGTAATAGATTAAAAGCAGAAATAGATAAGAGAATACATCACTTTCTACTAAGTCAGATATTATAAAGAGATTTGGAAAAAGGTAAAGCTATGTTACTTTTTTTTTAATTCGAGAACAGTTACTTTTCATAAAGAATGTTATCCTAACACTATTATTAAGACCTTTTAAATTTGTTCTGATATCTAATATGGTTAACTACCACACAGCTATAACACATACACATGCAATAGTTCTCGGGGGGCTTCCACCAAATTTTACAGTGTAAAGGAACCCTAAGACCAAGAATGTTTGCGAACTGTTGCTGTTCACAGTACTTCTAAGTCTATTTTTATAGAAAGCATTAGATGGGGAAGTACCAGATAAAAAGTCATGTGCACTTAAAATCAACATCCTACCAGACTGCCTTTCAGGGAGCTCTGCTGGCAGGACCCCCAGCACCTGTGTGAGCACCCCCTGACCTGCCTGTGGGCCTGCCCCAGCAGCCTCTAGTCTGAGACTGGTCTTCCTAAGTGGTTTCCCACACTTGAAGGAGGAAAGTCCTCTACTCCATCTAAAATAAAAAGGGACTCAGAAATTTTAATTTATATATAATTTTCCCAGGAAAACTTGGTTGTCCCAATTTATCTGAGTAACATTTAAAAAAAAGATTTATTTATGCATACAAGAATTGGGGTGCAAGTCAGAGGTGAGGGGGTGGGAAGGTGAGGGCATTCACCAGAGACAGAGTGGGGAACAAAACAGGTGGATCTACTGAAATACACTTCTGAGGGAGCAATGGGTGCGACAGGAGAGGTCTGCTGCGCCTTGTGGGTCATCTCCCTGGCTTGGGATTGAATTTAAAGCCGCAGTAGCTGGCGATAGCTTAATAGCACTGAGACTTTAATCCCTGTGCCACTAGGAAGGCCACTGAATTTCTGAGTGGATGCCTGAACACAGACTTTCCCCACAGAAAACATGGCAGTTAAGTTCACAGGTTTCAACACATCATCCAAAGATGCATTACACTAATGTTTTGGGTTCTAGAGCTGCATTATATTAGATAAACAATCAACAATACAATACTACCAGAAAAAGCACTTCATGCCCTACCTGGAATACTAACTCTGATACTACCTAGCTACTGTACCCCATAAAAATGATCTCATCCTCTCCTCCCCAGTCAACCATTCAGTTTTTTTTTTTTTGGGGGGGGGGTATGTTACATGGAGGCTGCTGCACCTCTGTGAGCATAAACACTCCAGCAGACACAGACACTGCATTATGGGTGTCAGAAGAACAAAAGAAGAGCTGTTGTGGGGACAGGGCAGGAGGAAGGGGGTTAAATCCCACTGAGTAGAGCAATCCAGAATTTTCCAGAGTGTGAGGTCCAAGGAATAGAAAGGTGCACAGCTGCAAGAATGACTTAGGTGCTCATAGACAGAGGCCAGAAGTGGAGTCACAGAATGTTGATGGGTTTCGAAGAATAAGGATTCTTTCTGAATTTACATTCTTCTATTATAACCATACAAGCTGCTGTGAGAACACAGGGATAGAGTCTAAGTAAAGGGCTAGCACTGTTCTTAGATAAGTGGGAATCACTTTTCTCTTTATATGTTGGGTGGTTCCATTGCTGTGGTTGGGACACCTTACAAGTGAGTGTTTTAATTATTGACTATTCCACAGGGAATATTCTGAATAGAGCACAGTTTTTCAAATGAGCTGAATTCTCCCTCTACGAACTCAGAAACGAATTAAGTGTGAAAATGGCTATTCTGTTAAGACCATATATCATTTACAAACTGTTCTGTCTTACCTACTTTGGACAATTTTTAAAACAAGGAGCAGCAGTTGCAAAAAAATAAAGTCCACTTAACACGTAAAACTCAACAGAGGCAGCTGTGAAGGGTCTGCAATGTAGCACTGACAAATTTCTAGTCTGCAGTTTCTCTGTGGCGCTCCTGGAGGCCACAGCGCTGTGAATCATATGTTGGCTCCTGAATACACACGCCCCAATCAGGCACAGACAGAAGCCGTGCTCCTCCAGGTTCAGGACCCCATGAAAGCAGATTTGGACATTCAACTTTCTTTCATATCATAGAGTCTTCATGGCAGAGAACTGGATCTCCACGTTCTTCATGAAACGACCCCTCCTACCCGTGTGAAATCACACCCATTCTCCAGAGCGTCAAGCATGCAGAATTAGCACAGAAACGTGTGCCTCTACCTTTTGTTATTTTCTTTTTTGCCCAAAGGTATTTTACTCATTAGCTGATGAAATAAAAGCTGTAGTATCTTTTAGATAACCTTTTTTAGAAATAATCAAGCATCAGGTGACACTTGGCATTTTTACCTTTCACCAGTGAAACCTTGAAGGCAGGCTCCAGGAACAAACCTTACTTTAGTAAAAACAACTCCGCCTTCCCAGCTTACTACAATGTGATTCATCATAAAGGACACACTTCTGTTTTGAAAATCTTGGTATGGTGACAGGACAGCTTAATCAATCAAGGAAGCAAACAGGAGAGTCAATATATGGCTCGTAAGCATCTGAGTTACACACTGTGGTAAAAAGTGACTCACTGGAAAGTGAGGGCCATGGTCTGGGATTTGGCACTAGCTCTAGAGCTCTAACCTTTTAAGTTTTAGAAAGGGTTTGCAATCAGAGAAAGGAAAAAAAAAAAAAACAACCGAAAGCTAAGAAGTGGGCTGTGACCTAATAAATCAATGGCTCATTTATCCCAGAGTGGCATGTCTGCCATTACCAGTTTGTCCTTCTGTCGCTCCCCGCGGATGAGGAAGCCGCTGCGTCCGTTGCCTTCTGGGTGCATGACCTTACAGACCCCCACGCGACTGATCCCGCCGCCTTCCTGTGGGAACCATCCCCCGCTGGAGTCATCTCTGGTCATAACCACAGCCTTGACACGCACAATATAGCTGTCACTGAAACGACAAGAGAGGGCGACAAAGGTCTGATGGCTGTCGTGCTTCACAACGCAAGGTGACCCCTGCCCGCCCTTTTCTAGGCTCATCACAAGAAAAGCTGCCTGGCAGCCACCTTAAAAGCAACATTTATTTTGTTGAAAAGCACATCATTTTCTCAAGACTTTCAGTGGTTAAAAGGCACATGTGAGTTTACTTCCAAGCCGTTCCGTTCAACATACAATCCTAGGTGGGAAAATCATTTCAGCTCAAATACCCTTTCCACACATGTAGCCTTCTGTTTATGATTTTATTTTTTCCAGGCTAAACTGCAATTTCACAATAAGTTCTTTTGTACATTTGCCAACAATCTTTTTTCTCCTCCAGAGACCAACTCAAGTTTCTATTCACTCTGCATCACTTTTTGGGAAACTTATTTGCATTTTCAGCAAGGTCATTCAATTCACCTTGCTGTTTTTCTTTGACTTGAATTTTTTTTTTTTACTTTCTTGAACATATATACTCACACTTCTATATGACAGGTGCAATGCCAGATTCTAGGGAAACAAAGATGTAGAGGAACACAAAACCCCTTTGTTTGAGGGCCTCAGGGACATTCACAACCTTCAAATCTCTGGGTTACACCCTCATTTCCTGAAGGCATCCGAGCAAGCGGGTTCACTGTGCTCCCAGCTCTCCACCATGCTCCTTGTCATGATTCTTGGTGACTAGTATTCCCAGAGAGAAACCTTCCAACTGCTTGGCCTCTTAATTTCTAAAAACCTTCTCCAACACCCTTGTCTTACACCCAACCCGAGGTTATACCCTTGACCGTGTCAGTCAGTACCAGAGTATGTCCAACCTCCGTAACTTCTGCTTTAAGTCACTGTTCTCCAACCACCTCCTAACTTTGCAGCTCACTCCCTACAGACTCCAATAAGTCTTCACCCCATTTGAGCCAACTGTCTCTTGTCCTACCTTGCTTTGGTTGTCCATACCCTGCATGTTCTCACTGGATTCTCTACCAAACTGAAGTTCCATGGTCCATGACAACACTCTTGCACAAAACCTTAGCATCTTTACCTTCTCTCTTCTCACTGTAACTGCCTGGAGAAACTCCAACAATCTTCTCAAGTGCCCCCCCTCCACCCCCAAGCTGCTCCACATTGTTAGAAGGGGTCACACCTCAATGTACTATGCTCACAGAGTTAGTTTTAAAGTATAACCACCAACTTCAAACGGACCCTTACATGCCACCCAGCAATCTGCTCCAATTTCTTGAACTGTTCCCAAGATTATTCCTCATGTTCCCCTTCTCACTCCCCCAACCCACCCAAAGACAGAAAAGTTTGCTCTAACTCCACTGGGAAAACACAGAGATCTGTACCCACCAGAGTGCCCTACTCTGCACCAGTGCTCTCTGCCTCTCCTGTGACTAAGCCAAGCCATCCATGAGCCAGGATGATGACACCACTTAAATGGTTTCTATGCGCTAACAGTGCCCAAATTAACATCTCCACGCAGAGCTCCTTCCTGGGTTTCAGTTCAGCAAAATCAATCTATCGCCTGTGTGATTTCTCTCCTGCACATCTTCTAGGCATCTCAATCAACATGTTTCAGACTGAACTCCTGACTTCCAAAACCTCCTCACTCACTGGCTCTCCCTTCACAGTATACTCAGAATCCACTTTTTACCACCTCCATAGATCATTCCAACATACCACCTTGACCCCAGGTGCCATACATAACCTGAGACCACTGCAGCAGCTTCCTCCTTGGCCTCCCATTCCACGCCCGCCCAACCGCTTGAGCAAACAGACAGGTAAGTCTGGTGATGATGACCAAACAAGTGCTCCTATAGCTTTCACTGTATTACTTGGAGTAGAAGTCAGAACTCTGACTTACCCTGACCGCTCTTGCTTGTTCATTTGACTTCAGTCCCACTGCTCTTGCTGGCCCTCCACCCCAAGCACTCCTCAGGGCCTCGGACCTTGCTACTTCAACTCCACATCCCATTCTTCTCACACAATTAGGCTCATTCCCTTATTTTATTCTGCTCCAAGTTTGACTTCATCAGTGAAGACCTCTCTGTCTACTTTCTATGAAAGGGACCTTCCACTCCCCTGCAATCTTCACACTGCTGTGTCTTTCTACGTGCTAACAAATCAACTCCTGGCCTCACATGTTTCTCTGTCCACTTGTTTTTAATTCATATAGAACTGGGGTACAAGCCAGAGGTGCAGGGGTGGTGAGAGGCTTCACCAGAGACAGAGCGGGGTGCAGAACAGGAAGATCAACGAAGTGCACTGCTGAGGGGAGCAGTGGGCAAGGTCAGGAAGATCTGCAGTGCCATGTAGGTCACCTCCGGGACGGGGATTGAACTCGCACTGAAGCGGCTGCGGCTAGCTTGAAGTGCTGCGTCCTAACCAGTTGAGCCACCGGGGAGGACTGTGCTTGTCCACTTTCTGAACCAGGATATAACCTCCACAGGAGTAGGGATTTTCCATGTCCCTAGAGCCCAGAGCAGTGTCTTGTATGTTAGCGAGCTATGGAAGGCGAGGGTAAGTACACAACATTTACAAACAGGAATTTAAAAACCTATCTGTAACTAGTAGAATCTGAGAATATATAAAGTGTTCAATATTCATTTATCTTATGCGCCATAGAAGCTTAACTGGGAGAGGTTAAAGATTTCCTTTTCATTGAAAACAGTAAAGTTGAATTAAAAAAAAACAAACAAAAACACAATTCTATTAGTTATCCCCTCATGATAATCTCAGGATTCAACATGTACTTTAGGTCCTAGAGATTAAGAACATAAATTTTATAACATTTTTTTACACTAGTTACATATAAATTGAGAATATTTCCCCTCACCCCAACCCACTTATTCTAGGAAAAATTAAGTGTCCCCACGGTTTCTAATTCTCCAGTGTGAAGTACAGATTTCTCACATCTTCTGTGACTGCATAGGTTCACCCCAACAGGAAATGGCCAAGGTGAAGCACTGAAATCACATACCTCTTGTTAAGACATGCTTTTAACTTGTTTTTTTTTGCATCGCAGCTGTGTGCTGTTCTTCCTTCTCTGGTGGATTGGGTAAACACAAAAAAGGGATGTTTGCAACTCTTCTGTGACTGCCATAGACTTATTTCCAAAGAGGACTGATTTACCAGAGGTCTGGAAAGAAGGCACAGCCCCCGGGCTTCCATAGTAGCGGGGCTGTTAGCTCTGGCCTCTGCTTGTGATCTGCAGCCCCTCCATCCTGCCCAGCCTTCCGCTGCCCCTTCTGGAGGGCATCGACTTCTGTGAGAGGGGCGGGGTGCTGGGAGCAGAAGGTCCCTCAGTCTCCGCTGACAACAACTCAGTCAGTGTTAAACTGAGGCATCTGGCTATTTAAAACAAGGCAGGGGAGAAAGCATCACCCTAAAAGCTGTGAAGGCTGTGTGGGTAATCCAGCTGCATGGCAGCATGCCAACTGCTTCCTATCTGCTGTATTTACGCTACTCAAGCACTTCACCCCACCCAGAACAGCACTGGCAATGTACTCCACTACCAAAAAGGTATAAAAAAGAAAACACTCTCCCACCTTCCCTCCTTTCCAGTTCTGGAAAGAATTAAACAACATGTTTAAACCAGATGTGGGATTTGTTTTTTGGGGGGTGGGGAGGGTGTGGAGACATGGAGGAGGAAGGGCAAAGGCAGATTAACTTTTTAATTTACATGAGGAAAATACTGCTGATATCCTTCAGAAGAGCTTCAAAAAAATTCTTTGTTAAAAACAACCAAGATTAAAAAAAAAAAAAGCTCTGAAAGTGGCAACTGCTACATCAATGTAACTGACTAGGACCTAGTGACGTTCCAGACGCTGGTCCAAAATAAACAACAAAAAAATCCTGAAAGGAACTCCAGTGTCTGACCTTGAACTAACTACTCCTGAGAATCCACGTCATTAAAAAACGGTGTCTCACCAAATACCACTGCATTCTCAGTAAAAAACTGCCTTAGGGCCCCTCTCTGATGGTACAACAGGTTAGGACACAGGCCTTCAGTGTGAATTCGATTCCCACCCTGGAGGTGACCCACATGGCACTGCAGACCTCTCCTGTCTCGCCCACCTCTCCCTTCAGCAGTGTAATTCGTCCACTCTGCTCCCTACTCTGTCTCTGGTGAGTCCTCTCACTCCCCCGCACCTCTGGCCTACACCCCAATTCTGTATGCATAACTAATTAAATAAATAAATCTTAAAAACAAAAAACAAAAACTTCGACATTTTAAATGTGACTTTTTTTTTTTTTTTTTTAAGATTTATGCTTACAGAACTGGGGTACAGGCCAGAGTTGTGGTGGGTGAGAGGATTCACCAGAGACAGTGTGGGGAGCAGAACAGGCAGACTGATGAAGTGCACTGCTGAGGGGAGCAGCGGGCGAGACAGGAGAGGTCTGCCACACCATGTGGGTCAGCTCCCTGGCCAGGGATCGAACTTGTGCTGCAGTGGCTTCATCGAGCTTCATAATGCGGTGCTTTTACCCGTTGCACCACCAGGGAGAGCCCTAAATGTGACTTCTTTAAGGAACAAACTCTACCCACCTGTGGCCTTATTTGTAGAAATAGGACTTGCTATCCTGTGACCACAACATGTGCAAGATGTGAGGGCTATCCTATCTTAGGATGGGGAGACACAGGAAGAATTCCTAAATTAGATCTTTATTTAGGGGCGCTGACTCGAGGGAGGCACAGCAAGTCTCAGGTCTCGAGTCTTTACGTTCTAAGTTCCATCCAGATTCAAAGCACACTGTCTGGCAGTACTGTGCTGTGGCAAGAATGCCCAGAGCCAGACAGGTCGGCATGCCTTGACCTTCTCAGCAGTGAAGGAAGTGTCTTTCTGAGCTTTAGTTTCCTCATTTGCAAAAAATGAAGAGGATCTACCCTGCCGATATGTCCTGAGGGTTAAAAGCAGCAACAGAGGTCAAGTGCCTGCCACGGAGACTCTGATTTAGCTGTGGCCATCATAATTATTT